TTTCTCGGCTCGGCTTTCTGTAATGAAGGGAGAAGTGATTGTTAAGTGTGGTCTGGTCGGGGCTGGTTGGGAGTTTGAGTCCCCCTGCCTCTATAAGAAGTTTCAAGAGCTTATGGAGAAAGAATTCAAATAACCAGCCTGAATATTGAGCAGGGCCTAGCCAATCCCTGGAGAGGTTTGCCCAGATGGGGGCTAGGTTGTTGGCGACTAGTCTGAAGCCCTAAAACAACTGTCTTTTTCCCCCTGTGGGTATGGATCTTTGAGCTGAAGGGGGAGGGGGCTTGCCTCTGGAGCCCTATGGATTGAATGCTGGACTACATTGCAGGAGGCTGCATGAATGGACTTATTACCAGGATCCAGTGAGTAGAGCCTCTTTTCTGCGCTAAAAGCATTTCATGGTCCCCAGCTGTGATCCGTGGACTGTACCAGTCTGACTTTATCTGTGTTCATTCTACTTCATGGTCCCCAGCCATGAACCGTGGACTGTTCCAGTCTGCCTTTACCTGTGATCATAATACTTCATAGTCACCAACTGTGAACCAAGGACTGTTCCAGTTTGACTTTACTTGTGCTCATACTATGTCATGGTCCCCAGCAGTGAACCATGGACTGTTCCAGTCTGCCTTTACCTGTGCTCATAATACTTCATGGTCACCAGCTGTGAACCATGGACTGTTCCAGTCTACTTACATTAGTGCTATTGCTGCCAAGTAAGAAGAGTCCTTGGCTAGCAATACATTCCATTTTGTAGTATTTAACATCACCCCCACTCCCCTCTTAAGTTCTAATAGCAAATAAAGTTTAAAAAGACAACCCCTAGACTGATCAATGAGCCGGAGTGAATGGACTGTTGCTGTGTGCCTGGCTGCCTCTGCACTAACTGAGAAAGAACTTGTTTAATCTACAGAGGCCCCTCAGGGGGTAGCACTGCATATGCATATAAAATAAGTATGCCAGAACTTTTTCCTTGATTACATCTGGTTTGGAATTAGATTTACTGTATGAAATCAATAACAATTCCTTAAAATTACATGTGACCCCAGTGTGCACATAATATTAAAACTCCATTTTGTATATATGAGGTCTGCATAATAATTTGATGGAAAAGAATGAAAGTGGTCTCATGCTGTGCCTCGGACATGCTTGTCCTTTCCAATGTGTGAGGTCTCGGGGGTACATAAGGACAGAATTGATAAATACTATCACAGTAGGTTTTTACAGACATTTTTGAATGTTCCAAAACTAATTTTACAGTATAAATTCAATATCTTAAACGTCATTACCTGAGGCAAGCATAATAGTGTTATGTTAAAATACATTTGCTGGTGATGGCATAAAAACAACCACTATAATAATGGATAAAATTGCATTTTTCCAGCTGGATGATTATCATAATTCTGTTCAATTTATGTTCGAATACAATTATTCATTTCTGGATCAGTTTACAAAGCTCTAACAGTCCTGATATGAAAATGGCCTCAATGCAGAAACATAGATGGAAATCTCAGGGGTTTAAATTAATTATTTACAGGACCAGTATGAATGGGAAGCCTAATAATCTATTTACATAGGAAGTGGTCACAATTTGTACCATGCATACTGGCAGCCTTTATGACTTAAATTGAAATAAGCCCAGAAGATTGTTTGAAAGGCTTTTGGAACATTTTATATTTGGTATGGTGCTAGGAGTGAAGTAAATACTCTGTTGGCATCATCATTTAAATGAAGGACTATTGGTAAATAATATTTTTGCAAGGCTGGGGCTATTACAAAAATGTTTACCTGAATTTGGACATGGTCATCCACATTTTGCAGACAGAAATGAATTGTGCCAACTGGTGCAGGTTGGTATCTGGTGAATGTGCATGTTTGCATGTATACTGTACGAAAGGGAGAGAGAAGAGGACTACGGAGGCCACCTCTCTGTTTGTCAAACAGTCAGGAAAATATACCCTTGCTGACAAGCTCTGATCAAATGGCTGGAGGAGAAAAAAAGTATTTCCCAAAAGGGCACCTTTAAAGCGAGTGTCGATAGACGTAAAAATTAAAGTCAAAACAGATTTGTTTACAGCAATGCAAATAGGCTGCATAATTTTTATTTTCTTACAATGTCAAGTGCTGCAGCAAGGAATAAAATACCATGTGCTGGTAGTACATAGGAGAGTTGGTCTGCAGGTCACCCAAACAAAAGCAGTGTCCCAGCTCTCCAGCAGTCCGACTGTCACAGTCAGTTGCTATAGCAGTAGAGAAGCCCCCACTGACCAGCAGGGCAGGTATTCAAGCAGGTCACCCTGGTGCATGATGCAGGCGCACCTGAGGTGTGGAGTCTAAGAACAAACCGGTATTCACAAGAGCTCTTGATGGTGGTGATGGGTTAGTAACAGTACCAGGTCGCGATCCTCAGGATCGCCCCACCAAGAGGTGAATAAGCCGGGGTCCAGTTGCAGATATAGCAGGTAGGGGTCAAGCAGAAGCCTAGTCCCTAAAAAAGCCAACGGTTTAAACAAGTGGTTGCTGGTTGGGATCAAGCATAAGCGTAGTCAACGAACAAGCAAAATGTTGGTAACACGTAGTAGTGAAGATGAGGAAAGCTGCAGGTATGCAAAGGAGAAAGATATTGGTTTGAAAGAATACAATATTCTGCCAAACACGAAGTGCAGAGAAACGGCGTAGGAAGTTCATGGGAGGAGCAAAGAGTTCAAGATTCACAAGAAACAAGAGATTAGTCCTAAGACAGTGGTCGGCAAGCCGCGGCTCGCGAGCCACATGCGGCTCTTTACACATTTTAATGCGGCTCTTCTGTGTGCCGGGCGCCCGCTCCCCTCCCCTCCTCTCGGGCGGCCGCCCCAAAAGTCAGGACTCTGCAGCTAGCCCAGCAATGGGCAAACTACGGCCCGCGGGCCGTATACGGCCCGGCAGACCTTTTAATCCCGCGGAGCGTGGCAAACATTGGCTGTCAGGATGTAGGCGGGGCAGCGTGACGAACTCCTCTCCTCACAGTCCGCCCTGAAGACCGGAACGGCGCGGGAACACGGCGAGAGGAACGCACGGAGCAAAGGTAAGTGAATTGACATATGGGGGATGAATTACTATAGGGGGGATGAATTACTATATGGGGGATGAATTACTATATGGGGGATGAATTACTATGGGGGATGAATTACTATTACTATATGGGGGATGAATTACTATGGGGGATGAATTACTATGGGGGATGAATTACTATATGGGGGATGAATTACTATGGGGGATGAATTACTATGGGGGATGTATTTTCAGTTTTAAAAATGTGGCTCTCAAAATAAATTTCAATCGTGGTTTTGGCGAGATTTGGCTCAGTTGAAAAAAAAGGTTGCCCACCACTGACCTAAGAGATCTGGTGGGGAGCTGTCCAGCAGCTGAGGTGGCAAATCAAAAAAGAGCTACAGCCAGACACCACAGAGGTCGCAGGCTCAGATCCGGATCCTGACACCGACACATAGGGAGGCATGTTAGCCTGCTAGAAAACTGGGCAACTGCTTTGTGTGGAAAACCATGGTCATTTGAACAGTGGTCTACTCAGCAGCTTTCCCCCAATGGGAAAGCAGTGCAAGCCATTGGAGAGCCAAGCTGCTGCTTTGTGTTGGAGAACCACAGTCTATGTGTTGGTATATAAAACCTTGCTTCAGCATTTACCAGTGTTAAAGTAAGAGAATTCCATATTTATTTCTGTATATGTAGCAACTCGGATGCATTATAATATTACTTAGGGTTTGGGGTTGAAAAAAAAAAACCAAAACCCTATTATTTCCCAATACTCCCCATTTTGGAACCTGCACTGCTGGTTAGTAGTTTATTGCAGACAGAGCTATGGTGGGTCAGGATTCTTCAGCATCCAATTTTCCAGGCGTGTTCTTTACCGTCAGCACTTATTTTTGTCTCAATCAACATATAAACAGAGCCATTATTATTATTATTATACAGGATTTATATAGCGCCAACAGTTTGCTCAGTGCTTGTTATAAAAGGGGAAACTATATCTTTTTTTTAAGGGTAAATCCTTTTTATATGCTTATCGTTATCTAAGTAGGCAATGCAGCCATAAAGTTTCTAATAACCCGAAAATATTTTTTTTTTGGCAATTACTCACACATAGGTAGATACTTCATAGCAACATTTTTCCGCATTCACTTTCTTTCCAAACCCATAGCTGAAGATGGCATGTTAATTATAGTGTCAAAATGCAGGATCCTCTTCAACATCAATGTCATTTAGCACTATGTCTGGGACCAAAACTCTTTAAGAAATACTTGTTATGTTGACTTAGAAATCAGACTAAATACAAAAGAAAGTATGCTGTAGGACAAATACACCCACGAATGTCATCAAGGGCATCATAAGAAAATTTTGATTCAAAGAACTTTTCCATTATCTATTTCCCACGGTAACTGCTGTTCTTTCAAAAGATCATGAAAGTTTAAGTAGATAAAAAGAAAAGGGTAAAGAATTTATTAGATTAAAAAAAAAGTAAAACATTAGGAACTGCAGAGACTTGAAAGAGCTGTTTAAAGTGGAAAAACAAAAGACAAAAAAATTGCTAACAGGTAACTCTTTTTGGTAAAAGAGGCTGATAAGGTCAGTCATAATGTTTAAGTATGCAGTGCACAACTGCTCATGATCACATTATTAGAAACGCTTCAGGAACTCATTGCAATTTAAGTGGAAATGTAGTGATAAAATAGTATTGTAAACCAATTCTTTAGATACATTTGCATAATAAATGGTCCAAATTAATTTAAATATCAAACCCCAGACCTAAGTTTAGATTGAAATCAGTCACCTTTATCCAAGAGTGCAGTAGCCATTAAAATTGGAGAAGGAGGGGCATGACTGTTTGCCATTCAGGCTCTCTGGCATTGTACATATGCTGAGAGCAGAAGAGAGCAGAGTAAGCAGAGGGATAACCTTATCACTGATGGGCGCAACTACTGGGTAGCATTGATGGGTGGCACTGATGGGGGGGGCACTGATGGGTAATGGTGAGTGGCACTGCTGGGCACTGATGGGTACTGGTGGGTGGCACTGCTGGGAACTGATTAGCCGATCAGCAGTCCATTATCACCTAGTACTATGGGGTGACTCTCAATGTTCTAGGGACCATAGTGCTCACCGGAAATGAGAATGACCGCTGCTGAGCACCCTGCAGGCGTCACTACCCACTATCCTGATCAGTTGACAGGAGGCAATCTGGAGCCACTCTACTCTGCCAGGAGCCTGACCCTCCACAGTGGATTTCAGTAGTGTCATCTCCCAAGTGTCTTGTGAATTGATTCAAACCCAATTTTCTCCATAATACAGTATAGACACCAAGTGAATCAAGCTAAATAAAACAATATCCTTGCTATATCAAATTATATAAGGCAGCTAACACCAATAGGTAGTATAACAAACCTATATAAATGTGCATGAAAGTGAAAGTGCAGAGCCAATTAAACAATTTAAGTATCTGATTAAAACCTGTAACAAAATTCAATAAAATAACAGTCCATATAGCCAAACTTCAAATGAAGAAAGCTTGAACGTATCAGTCAGCCACCAAAAAGTGATCTTGCTTCCAACAAAGAAATTCAGAGGTCCACCACCATCTCCCTGTGGATTCAAAACTCATAAGTGCTCCTCTGTCATATCAGAAGTTCAATGTACATACGCAAATAACTGCATCCACCGGTACCACTCTATATGGACGCGTTGTGACATAATAAAGCTCACAAGGAGCACATATGCTTCCAATAGTGTAGTATTTCTTATAAAATATGAATAAAAAACACCCCAAATGCATCAAAGCAATGCTGGCTTATATAGACCCAGGATCGCGCAGCAGCATGACATCAGCACTGTAAACTCCTCCTCTACACGTTTCATCCAATGGGACATCATCATGGATGAAACATGTCCGGGAGGAGTTTACATTGCTGACGTCATGCTGCTGCGCGATCCTGGGTCGGCAGTGGCCATCTATGTAAGCCAGAGTTTTGTTTTACTGAAAAGGGGTAAAAGGGAATTTGTAGGCATTTTACCTAGATACAATTGTCTGAGTGTTAACCTTTTTGCAAATAACTTTACTTAAAAAAAAAAAAAAAAAAAGTGCAATAAGGAGCCATGCATGCTAGAAAAAAATGAAAATCAACTCAAAATGTCATGCTAATAGAGGTGAATAAAGTACTCACTGATACACCTAGTTCAAGACTTGACCTGAATTAAGCGGTGTGCAGGCAGAAGAGATATGTTACAATCTCCTGTGATGCAGACTTAACCACTAACATTTAATACACCATTTTCCTTTTTTATTACTACCTTTTATTGAAGTTTTACTGAAGCCCCAGCATTAACATCTGAGAAGAGGATTTGCTCCCGAAATTAAAGCAGACCTGGTATGGGACCATGAATTTGAAGAAGCTATTAAGTTATTATCCATTCATTTTTTTTTAACTTTTTTTTTTCTTTTTTAAGTGCGGGAGACTTTTTTCACTATACTTCTAGAAAAAGAAGAAGATAAAAAAGGCTGCTTATACAGACATTTGGCATTTTTTCTCTTAGCTTTTAGAAGCAACTCTATGTTAGCCTACGTGTCCATGCACATTTAAGAGTTTACATAGTTGTAGAGGAACGTTTACAAGTTAAAAAAAGAAAAAAAAAAATCACCAGTGCATTTTTGAGAGTAGGTTTTGGGCAGAAGAAAATGCATGAGATGCTTCAATGTGCCTAAAAGCATTTTAATTATACATTTTTATCTAGTGTTTTTGAGGAAAAATAAACGTAAACGTGTCTAAACGCATGTACAATATGCTTCATAGGGGCGTTTTTTTATGCTGCCCTTTTCTGACAGCAGTTCTGTCGTTCTTACTGCTGCGTACTGTGCATGGATCTTTACTGTAGCTTCCCATACTAATACCAGAGGTACCAGTGAGACCTACTGGCAGAAGGGAGTAACCACAGCTCCAGCTGTGGTTACTCCTTCATAATGCCACGACCCTTTAATACAGTTCCTCATGTTGTGGTGACCCCCAACCATAAAATTATTTACCCAGTAATTATAATTCATGAAGTGTCGTTTTACCTCCAATACTGCTGCTTTCAACACAGTAGCTGCTTTTAACACAGTAGCTGCTTTCAACACAGTAGCTGCTTTCTACACAGTAGCTGCTCTTTACACATTGGAAATACGTGTTTTCCGATGGTCTTAGATGACCCCTGTGAAAGGGTCGTTCGACCCCCAAAGGGGTCGCGACCCACAGGTTGAGAACCACTGATTTAGGGGAAAATCAAATGAACAAGTAGACTAAAGATCAGCTAGGCTGTCTAACACCCAACGGAACTAAAATTGACTAGTAACCCTTGTTTAGGACAAGGGGGGCTACACACATATAGGGCTCTTATCACCAGAACATGGGGTCCAGATGTTCATCGACCTCCAGCGCAATATCTATTTGAGTGCTGGGTATTTAGATAGGATGATACATTTTTTTGCATACCCGAAAAAAAAAAAAAAAAAAAAAAAAAAGGAGGTCTATGTTGACTATTAAATATCAAAGGATAGGATAACTAGAGTGCATATAAGAAATTGCCAGCAGGGAGGATTTCTCATTATCTCTTATCTCCACATACTGACCTTTTTTTCCCCAAGATGTCCATGTATGCCTGGAGAGATATGTTCCTTTTATAGACAGAGAGAAATAAGCAGCAAGAAACGAAGCTTGAGAAGAAATTCACATTTTGCTGTTCTGGCTGGATAAAAGCAACTACTCTGTCTACTTTTTGTGTTTGAAAGATTATCCTCTAACATCCCTTAAAGTATTACTAAACCCAGGACCCTGCATTTACTATATCTTGTTTTCCACAGTACACACAACATGGAAATACAATTATTTTAGTAAATATAAACTGCTAAATACCTTTTCTTATCAGCAGTTAGAGCAGACTTGTGACTTCTATCAGTGCCCAGCTGAGAACTGGTTAAAGCTTGTATAAAGTTTTCATTCTGCTCTGACTGTCCTATGAGGCTGCATAACCCCTGACTTTCTGTCTGGACAGTGCTGATTGGCCCTGTGCTGATCATATGCACCCTCCCAAAGAAAAAAAAAACTCTCTAGCACAACGCAAACTGAGCAGACTCCTAGAGCTCTGTACTATCAGATGGATTGGGGACAGTAGAAGGGGAGGATCAGAAAAGACAGGATCAAACAGCCTTTTTGCACAATGCAGAGGATTAACCCCTTAGTTCCACAGTGAGTATAACAAGCATGCTTTACTGCATATACAGACTGATTTCACTGTTGTGGGTTTAGTAACTCTTTAAGATTTCCAAAAGCACATCAGATATATCGTATGATGGAGCAGCACGAGCAGAGCCTCTTTCAAATAACCTAAACCTTTAGCTACTAAAATCCAGTATACAGACCAATCTAAATAAAATATTGGCCAATCCTAAGACTTTGGTTGATATGAAATTTTAACATGTGCTATAGTATACAGATTAACCGCATGCCGCCCAGCCACTGTACATATACGGCGGCAGGGCGGCACTCACAGGCAAAACCACGTTTTAAGACGACGTGTGTTTTGTAAACAAATTGGGGGCACGCGCGAGGCGCGCACACCGCCCTATTTGTCCTGCGGATCACCGCCGCAGATGTCAGTCGCCGGGTCACAGCCGCTCCTTAGCGGCTATGTCCTGGCGATCAGCGAACAGCAAACAGCAAACAGTGACAGAGAGCACAGCTGCAGTAGCTGTGCTGTCTGTCACTTCCTTCTCAGCTCGAGGATGAGTTGATCGAGAAAGAACAGTTTCTCTTTCTCGATCAGCCTTGTCCCGCCCAGTACACACCCCCGCCCCCTAGTAAAACACTCCCCTCACTCCTATAATCCTTCCCTGCAAAATAAAGTTAACCCCTTCCTCCCCATTGCCATTAGTACAGTGTCAGTTTTTTTTTTTTTTTTGCACTGATCACTGTATTAGTGTTTTTGGGAATGTCAGTGACCCCAAGTCAGTACCCCCCAATGTCAGAATGTCCGCCACAGTCCCGCAGTCCCGCCATAAGTCGCTGATCGCTGCAATAAGTCCCTGATCGCCGCCATTATTAGTATAAAAAAAAACCTAAAAATCCCAGTATCTTTCCCGCCATTTGTAAACGCTATAACTTTCACGTAAACCAATTAATTTATACGTATTGGGGTTTTTTTTAGCAAAGACATGTCGCAGAATGCATTTTGGCAGAAATTTATGACTAAATTTGATTTTTGCATTTTTTTTTTACTGGACATGTTTTATAGCAAAAAGTCCAAAATATTGTTTTTTTTTTCTCAAAATTGTCAGACTTTTTTTTTTATAGCGCAAAAAATAAAAACCGCACAGGCGATCAAATACCACCAAAAGAAAGCTCAATTTGTGGGGAAAAAAGGATGTAAATTTCATTTATGTACCATATTGCATGACCGCGCAATTGTCCGTTAAACTAGCGCAGCTCTGTATAGCAGAAAAATGGCGTAAATTGCAGTATTTATACCATAGTTTGTAGACGCTATAACTTCCACACAAAGCAATCAATATACACTTATTGGGATTTTTTTTTACCAAAAACATGGAGCAGAATACATTTTGGCCTAAATTTATAAACAACTTTGAGTTTAATATATATTTTTTATAGCTGAAAATAAAAAAATATTGTTTTTTCTTCAAAATTTTTGGCCTTTTTTTGTTTATAGCGTGAAAAATAAAAAGCGCACAGGTGATCAAATTACACCAAAAGAAAGCTCTATTTGTGTGAAAAAAAGGACGTAAATTTTGTTTGGGTGCAGCATTGCATGACCGTGCAATTATCAGTTGAATTAGTGCAGCGCCGTGTAGCAAAAAGAGGCCTGGTCATTAAGGGGGGTAAATCCTCTGGAGCTCAAGTGGTTAGTCTGCTATTGTATAGACCAGGGGCGGAGTGACAACTCATGGGGCCCCCGGGCAATAGGGGATCATGGGGCCCCTGTGTCCTTTCCCAAACTCAAAAAAGCCTATGAAAAAGGTACCAGGGGCATCTCATGGGGCCCCCTACTGACCCCGGGCCCTTGGGCATTGCCTGAGTTTCCAAATGGTCAGTCCACCCCTGGTATAGACTAATCTTACAGAGGGGACTTTGGCATAAGAAGAGGAATGTTAGTTGAAAAACGGACTGGATTTAAAATAGAATCAAGATAGTATAAGCGAGTGCTGTGTATAACAAAAAGCAGCTAGCACAAGAGACAATGACAATAAATCTCACAGTAGCATGTGTGTGTAAAGTATGAACAGGAGCCAGGTGCTGCGTAGTTTTGTGATAGAAGTAATACACCTTATAGGGAGGTGTGCCTTTAAGAATTCATATGGTAAAAAATAGATAACCAGCCTGTGGCTTTAAGAAGCCAGGTTCCAAGATGGACGACCCGTCTGCTCAGAGGGAAACAGTGGAGAGTAGAATGCCTGTCAGTGCAGGGACCACGTGTATCCGACGCCCCAGAGTCCCGGATGACGTCACCACGATGTGGAGAGACGGAGGGGGGGGGGACTCGCTGGAGCCGCAGCTTTAGAAGGAAGAGGCCAGTTGTCGGGACAACATGTTTTGCGCGCATGCACTTTATCAAGTGTGTGTGTAAAGTGCAGCGCTAAATCATATAATAAAACATCCAAGAGATTTGTAAAACAACAAAAAATATTTATGCAGACAAAAACATGTCCACCATGGCCAATGGTGGACTGGCATCCCATCAGTGAAACAATAAATGAATAAAATCCATACGGTGTAATACATAGGTGCTAGTGTAAATCACAATAACAATGTGACAAAGTCCATATATGTGTCAGTAGTACTGCAAGACACAAAACAGCAATGTGTCCAACTTCAAAACAGTGCCAGGCAGGGGCGGACTGACCATTTGGAAACTCGGGCACTGCCCGAGGGCCTGGGGTCAGTAGGGGGCCCCATGAGATGCCCCTGGTACCTTTTTCATAGGCTTTTTTGAGTTTGGGCAAAGACACAGGGGCCCCATGATCCCTTATTGCCCGGGGGCCCCATGAGTTGTCAGTCCGCCCCTGGTGCCAGGGGATCCAGTGAACACTCCACCACCACTATGCACTCGCCAGAATGCTACTGGTATAGTAGCAATGATCGATGGTCAATCAGATACAATGTTCACAATCCTTAGCCTGAGATACTCCTGCCCTCACTGTCATTCCGGTCTTTATAGTCTTGTACAGCCCAGGCTGGTCTGGTAGCTCAGGCAGAGGCTTCAATCTTGCAGCCACCATGTAATTGCCAACTGTCCTGCTTCAAGATTTCCGCTGACACCCATTTCATATGACTTGCCTAACACCGTTGCCTACATACTATACCCTCATGGCCAGTTTATTAGGTACACCTTGCTAGTGCCAAGAAAATATCCCCCCACACCATTACACCACCACCAGCCTGAATCATTGATACAAGGCAGAATGGATCCATATTTTCATGTTGTTTTTGCCACTTTCTGACCCCATCATCTGAATGTCGCAGCAACCAGTCTGCCCATTCTCCTCTGACATCAACAAGGCATTTCCATCCACACAACTGCCGCTCATTGGATATTTTCTCTTCGGATAATTCTCTCTAATCCCTAGAGATAGGTGTGTGTGAAAATCCCAGCAGATCAGAAATTTTTGAAATACTCACACCAGCTCGCCTGGCACCAACAACCATGCCACATTCAAAGTTACCTAAATCCCCTTTCTTCCCCATTCTGATGCTCTGTTTTAACTTCAGCAAGTCGTCTTCACCACATCTACGTACCTAAATGCATTGAGTTGCTGCCATGTGATTGGCCGATTAGTAATTTGTGTTACCAAGCAATTGAACAGGTGTACCGAATACATTTTTATCATAGCAATAAAGTCAAAGTCATTCTGTATATATCATAGTCATGGCCAATGGTGGACTGGCATCCCATCTAAAACACTTCACAGACTTGATCTGCTTCCCCAGGATAGAACACTGAAGTATCTGAAGTCATTAACAATTTTGTAGTTCTGTATGCACTGTAAACAATACAAGAATCCCTTTAAAAAATCACTTCCCAGGCAGACACAAGGCAACCATAGGACACTGACTGGAAATTCCCCACAGAAGTATTAACTCTCAGTAACCATTGAGCCATACCTCAATATACGTTTGTTACTTCAGTCATTATAAAGCTGGAAACATCTGACCTCATACTGTAAGTCCACTTCTATATCCCTCTTTTAGATGCCACTCCTAAGGGTATGTAAAACAGCCTTTGTGTGCATATACAGTATATCTTAGTTTTGTGCCATTATTTTATCCTTCTCTATGCATCTGAGAAATCAGCCCATTATTCATAAAACAGACAGTATGCACCGATGTCCAAGAGCAGGAAGATCATTGAAGAGCACACCATAGTGCCTTGCGGGAAATGAAAAAAAACACCTCTGGTCCCATGTAGAGAAAGTTCGTTGAGAAAGCTCAAAGTGAATAGAAGTCTTTTACTTTAGGAGGGATTGATTCCCCTTTTGCTACATTGAAATGCACGTAGGGGGAAACAATTTGTGCAAATTCTTAGCATAACAATGAGATAAAATTAGGAGCTCAAGGGCACAAATTATCATGGCGGCAACTTTTTCACAGGTTTGTGATTGCTCCATTTTCAAATGACATTGCATTCTCTAACATGAGCATTTAATGGTTGTAAAGGGAGCACGAATGTCATCCAGACCATCCAAGGTCATTGTTTTGACCTGGGAATTCATCTGATGAGGGAACATTTGTATCCATTTTTAGGATATATTGGTGAGTTTTTGAGCTGGAATGAGATTCATGCTTTTTGCAGGGCTGTGGGGATGGAGAATTGTGCTGGGAAGAAGGAGGAAGATTGCTGCTGGAGTAGAGATTTGTTCTTTGGGAATTGAGTGGAAATTGTGGTGCTGCAGGGATATTTGGGATATAGGTTTGGGAGATTGTGTAGGGGTAGGGAAGTAGGAAGAGGGTGCAGCATTTTGCTGGAAATTGGATTATTTTTCTTGGGGGAGGAGGAGGATAGAAAGGATTTCTGTTTCCAGAAGGATGATTTCTTCATTGGAGGGAGTACATTTTGTTGGGGATCGATTTTTTTTTTTTTATTAAGAGTGTAGATTTTTGATATGGGTGGGACACTTTTTACTTGGGATAAGAGAAAATAGGTGAGAGATTTGTGTTGGGGTCCTTAAAGTCATGGGATTTTTGTGTTTGGGGAGGATAGAGGGTATAAAAGAAGAGTCATTTATTTCTTGTGGGGTGGCTGAAATGGTGCAGAGGGAGTACTCCACACTCAGTAAGCACTACTGTATGTTGCATATTGTACATATGAACACTGCATTCTGTGTGTTAAATGCTCCTAATCATTGCACTCAGTACACTGGGAATACAGGGGTCAGGAGTATGCAGTGCTTAGCATAACATACTGTGTGGGGCAGTTAGGAGAATTCAAAATACTGCACAAAATACAGTCAGGAATATAAAATATATGATATATACAGTGTACACTACATTTTCCTGACTACTGTACTCTGTACATTTCACCTCTACATACTCCTAGCCCTTGCATTTTTTACCGATTTTCCATTAAAGGCCAGCAAAGCACTAAAGCACACTAATAAATCATGTCACTGTACTTTATAAATGTGGAGGTTAGTTTTTCTTTTAAAGCAGCTTTATGGCCATAATGCCAATTTATGAATAGACTTTTAAGAGCATGCTAAAACAGATAACATTTTTACAAACAAAACAACTGACTTTGTAAAGCTTGCTTCGACCTGTAGTTATCCAATATAGCTTTACCATTGAATATTTGCCCAAGTTTTTGTTTATCAACTTTCTTAGCGACTTTCAATACAGTCTGGTCCATAAATATTGGGACATCGACACAATTCTAACATTTTTGGCTCTATACACCACCACAATGGATTTGAAATGAAACGAACAAGATGTGCTTTAACTGCAGACTGTCAGCTTTAATTTGAGGGTATTTACATCCAAATCAGGTGAACGGTGTAGGAATTACAACAGTTTGCATATGTGCCTCCCACTTGTTAAGGGACCAAAAGTAATGGGACAGAATAATAATCATAAATCAAACTTTCACTTTTTAATACTTGGTTGCAAATCCTTTGCAGTCAATTACAGCCTGAAGTCTGGAATGTACAGACATCACCAGAAGCTGGGTTTCATCCCTGGTGATGCTCTGCCAGGCCTCTACTGCAACTGTCTTCAGTTCCTGCTTGTTCTTTGGGCATTTTCCCTTCAGTTTTGTCTTCAGCAAGTGAAATGCATGCTCAATCGGGTTCAGGTCAGGTGATTGACTTATCCATTGCATAACATTCCACTTCTTTCCCATAAGAAAACTCTTTGGTTGCTTTTGCAGTATGCTTTGGGTCATTGTCCATCTGCACTGTGAAGCGGCGTCCAATGAGTTCTGAAGCATTTGGCTGAATATGAGCAGATAATATTGCCCGAAACACTTCAGAATTCATTCTGCTGCTTTTGTCAGCAGTCACATTATCAATAAATACAAGAGAACCAGTTCCATTGGCAGCCATACATGCCCACGCCAAGACACTACCACCACCATGCTTCACTGATGAGGTGGTATGCTTAGGATCATGAGCAGTTCCTTTCCTTCTCCATACTCTTCTCTTCCCATCACTCTGGTTTGGCAAACTCTAATCTGGCCTTCCTGTTTTTGAGGCTCACCGATGGTTTACAGCTTATGGTGAACCCTCTGTATTCACTCTGGTGAAGTCTTCTCTTGATTGTTGACTTTGACACACATACACCTACCTCCTGGAGAGTGTTCTTGATCTGGCCAACTGTTGTGAAGGGTGTTTTCTTCACCAGGGAAAGAATTCTTCGGTCATCCACCACAGTTGTTTTCCGTGGTCTTCCGGGTCTTTTGGTGTTGCTGAGCTCACCGGTGCGTTCCTTCTTTTTAAGAATGTTCCAAACAGTTGTTTTGGCCACGCCTAATGTTTTTGCTATCTCTCTGATGGGTTTGTTTTGTTTTTTCAGCCTAATGATGGCTTGCTTCACTGATAGTGACAGCTCTTTGGA